TGGGGGGGGCTTGTGAGCAGGTGGGGGGCATGCTCTCTGGTTTTGCTTCTCAGCTAGCATGTGGCAGTAGAACCTCCCTAAAACTTCCGCTTGGAGTTGGGGATGAGTAAATGGCGGATGGGGGAAGGACCCTGGTCACACGGTTCTCTTCTGGGTCATGAAAAACTGAGATTAGATCCTTCCCTGTGTTTTGAAGTTAATCTATTTTGTAAAATAGCTCTGATAGAGGACTGCCTTGAGGTTATTCTTAATTATAGGACGACCTGCACAGCCTTTTGTGCAAGTTAATTAGATCTAATCCATTAGGTCATGGTTAACACAAGACCGTGGAGTAAGATAACCTCTAATCAGCAGTTTCCATCTTACGTCAACACTTTTCTACAACAAACATTTTAACAAATACAGCTTCCTATAGCAAGGATTTGTGGTCTTGAAGTTATAAGTCAGTAGTCATCAGAACAGTTAAAATACATATCTTAATACTGTAGGAGGTTTTTATCACGTCAAGACTCAGAGTAAGTACAGATTAAACTTAAATGTTACAACGACTGGTACGTAAACAGTTGCTGACTTCCCCAACTCGAGGAGTCAGAGTGGCTAAATTCACTCCTTTCTGATCTTAGGGGCAACGGCTTTTCACTCTTTCAAGGATCCTACCAAAAAAACCCACCAAAAAAACCCCCAAAATCCCAAACAAAACTGTGACCTGCAGTTTTGACTGGATTACCCGTCAAGGCTGGAACAAAGGTTTTCAAGGCTTGCAATAATTTTTTCACACGGGCCAGTGAGCATCCTTGGACCTCGGTTTCCTCATCTGTGAAACAGGAATAGTAAGACCTGCCTTGTGACATTGATCTGGGGGTTAAAGGAGAAACTGAGCATAAAGTGCTTAGCAGAGTGGCTGGATGTTGTCCTCAGGAAATATTTGCTGGGATTAATTTTTATTATTACAGGAACCAAGATCGAAAAGTGATCTAAAAAAAAAAAGGGTGCTGGGACATAGAATGTAGAAGTGTGATCAGTCCTAGGGGACAGCCTGGTGCCATGCGGCCGGGGCTCTCCTCTGCCAGGCCATCGTGTTCAATGAGCCCGTCCGACCTGCAGTCTGTGAAGGGGCTGGATCAGACCCCGGAGGAGGCCACGGGCAGGACACCTGGGCTGCTACTACCACATGCCCAGCCCCATCTCTCATCACAGACACTTCCTTCCCCACGGAGCCTGGAATGACTGGGAACCTCCCGCCACAGGCCTGCAGGCGGCCTCTGGCTGTGAATTCTCAGTTGGCACATGAGCGAGGCCCACCTGCCGCGAGCTAGAGCCTTGCCCAGCCCTCAGGTCCCGCCTTTAGGAATAGGAGAAGTAGGGAACAACCCCAATGGATGTTTCCCAAGCTGTTTTCACCTTCTTTTTAGGGGATAACATCTCCCAGTATCTCTCCCTTCCAATTACTGGCTTAGGGGAAAGCCTTTATGCGCCGGTTACCAGGGCCCCTCCCCGGCCAAACCCTTCATCTCGCTGCAACCTGCTTCTCTGCCCTCCGGGAGACTAGGGGACTGTCCAGGCGCCCAGAGGGTGCCCCGAAGGGCCTAGTCTAGCAGGAGACTCTGAGAATGCGCATTTCTTCTCCTTAGTCCTGGTGTTTGCGGCCTAAGGGACAGGACGAGCATTTTGTTTCTCTTTTTCAGGCTCCCGGAAGAGCACCTGAAAGCCATCCAGGACTATTTAAGCACGCAGCTCGCCCTGGACGCAGACTTCGTGAAGACGGGCTCCAGCAGCCTCCCCAACCTGAAGAAACTGACGGTGCTGCTGTGCAGGGAGCTCTACGGGTAACGGCCGGCGGGCGGGGGCAGGACGCGGGGCGGACGTGGGGCAGGACGCAGGGCAGACGCGGGGCAGCTCCCGGGCCCGGCTCCCTCTGGCCGCGCAGACCCGCCGCTGCGCTCGGGACAGTGGGGCAGCTGCCTTAGGAATCTCCGTGGTTATTTCAGGCTTTGTTTTCGTGGCATTTGAACTATAGCGCTGTTTTGGTTTTTCGTGCGTGTTTTTTAACTGAAGTTCATTTGAGGCGGGTCGCTTTAGGGAGGGGCTGCAGGACTTTCTGCGAGCCTTTCACACTTGCTCAGGGTCCAGCATGTAAAGCCCTCGGAGCTGGCCTTCCTTCTTGCAGCAGTGGGCACATTGGACAAGCACATAGGACACCGGAGGAACTAGATGAAAGCCAGCCTCCTTTCTGTGTGGGTGGTGATGGCCCAAGGTGGCCAGAGATGGCAGTTTTCAGCCATTCACCAAAATATCAATTTTCTGATATTGAATTCATCGAATGACCAATTGGTAAAAGTTCCAATTTCATTTAGATTTTTTTAAATTTTATGTTTTAATTTCATTCACACAAAATTAATTTGAAGTTTAATTACATTTTAATTGTTAGAGGTGCAAAATTCAGGCTGATCTGCCATCTGAAAAAACTTAGCAGAAGAATCCTTTTAATGCTGTTTTAAAAGCTTGAAAAATAGAAAATAAAAACATCTGAAAGAAATCACAAGGAGCCAAAGCAATCCCATCATAAATGAAAAGTCAACATTTTGGTTGGAAAAAATCGCATTTCGTGTGGGTGAGGTTTTTTTTTTTTTTTTTTGGCCTATACTGATTTTTATTTTATTACAGATACAGCAGTTTCAAAACTCTCTTGTCAGCTTCTCTGATGCATTTCCATCTTAGCTTAGTAACTATGCAACAAAGAATCTTTCATCATCAGTAATCAAACTGAACTTTCCTCTTCAAGATCTTAAAAGTACAATCCGTACATTTGGTAAATTTAACCAATAATTTCTTTGACAAATCGAGCACTCAGCAGACTGGCCCGTCAGGTTTAATTTCAATGAATTGGCTTTCCACTAATCCGGTTTCCAACAGGACCTAGAGCCGTCATTTATACTTTCCCACAGAGAGATACTTTTCTACTGGAAGCTGTTGCTATTCATTTATCACCAGGGAAAACTTATACGCATGACACTTTCTTTTTAACAAACAATTTCATGACTGGCGACATTTTATTTCGGCTCCAGTGGAGTTCCCGTTCTTTGCTGCTTCTCTGTCCAGAAGAAAATATACCTTTAAGTTTCTCCACTAAGCTTCTCCAGTCACTCGGCCCGTGGGCAGTGTCCCCGACACCTCACTGCTACCTGGGTCCTGGCACCTCACCTTATGGGGCAGCAGCTGCCCCAAGGTGCCTGCTTCCCTGGTGCATTGTGCTGGCGGAAAACGCTTGCTTTGGCTTCTAGCTGTTCCCCGCGTTTATTTACGGAGCAGTCACCTTCCAGTTAGAATTAGAGACACTATGATGCACCCCCCATCTGTCTTCACCTTCATAGGCAAAATACTAGCAGACTTGGAGAATGGTTAACTGAGAGATGGAATTTTAGAAAATCTTAGGAATAAAATTATGTTTTCCATCCCCCTGCCACCCCTGCTGGTGCTGTTCCATGAAACTAACTATAAACTTGTAGTTTTTAAGACGCTTTGGTTGGAACAGGTCTTCAATCATTCAGTTCAATTCATTCATTCATTTATTCATTCACAGGGATGTTTGGAAGACAGTGTCTGATCTCTGTTCTGGGTGCTGGGTTACAGCAATAAACACAACGCACAGGTTCCTGCTCTTTAGGCCTTGTTGGAACTGACATCTTAGTGAGGAGTGCAATAGTAGATTAAGCCTGTAAATAAACAAGATAATTTTAGTAGGCACCATGATGAAATAAAACAGGAGAAGTGATGGAGAGACATTGAGGGGGAGAGGTGCCAGCGTCCTTGGGGGGGTCAAGGAAACCTCTCTGAGGCTGCAACCAAGAGCTGGCACCTTGGTGACAAGAGGGAGCTAGCCACCCAGTGATTCGGCAGAGGGGTGTCAAGTACAAAGGTCCTGAGGCAGGAATGAGGCAGGCCTCCAAAGAACAGACAGAAGGGCTGTGCGGCTGGAACGCAATGAGAGAAAGAGCATAGGTCAGGGAGAGGCAGGCATGGGGTGGCCAGATGCAGCAAATAAAACAGGATGCCCAGCTCAATTTGGATCTTAGATAAACCACAAATGTTTTTTTAGTATAAGTATATAGCATGCAATATTGGGATATACTTATGCTAGCAGATTATCCATTGCGTATCTGCAATTCAAGTTCAACTGGACATCCTGTGATTTATCTGGCAGTGCTGGGCAGAGCCACACACGTCCACCTCACAAGGCCCTACAGAGATTTTAGAGGACCGTGGCGGGACCTGAGTCGGGCCTGAATGGGTCCCAGGGGGCAGACCCAGAGCAAGAGACCAGGGGGAGCTGCTGCGGCTGTGGCGTGATGGTGGCCCGCGAAGGACGCAAGCAGAGGCAGGCGGCTCTGTCTGTCTGCTTCCTGCTGGGACCCGGGCTGGAGACAGTGCCTGGCAACAGAAACAGCTGATAGACGTTAGTTAAATAACCAAAGGGCTTGGAGGGGCGTGGGCACCGAGAGCTGGTGTGCCCTGGTGTGTGGGTGGGTGGCAGAGCTGCCTGATTGGATGCAGAGTGAGAAACGGACCATGAGGGGGACCCCTAGGTTTTTGGGGGGAGCAGCTGAGTGGATGGTGGTACCAGTTACTGGAAAGGTAAAAGTCAA